CTGACTGGAGACGCAGCAAGAGACGCCCGCTGGCCATCATCACCTTCCTGTTGTGGGTAGGATGTTTTGCTGGCATTGGCTTTTACTTGGGGCTCCACTGGTGAACCTGAGTTCCCCATCATGTGACCCATTTATTTGCCTAACCAGATCAGACCAGGGAGTTACTCAGACTTTACCATACCCACTCCTCATGCTTAGGGAGGATCCATTATAAGACACATTATAAGACAATCTATTCTATCTATCAACCTGAAACTCACCTATTTCAAAAACAAAAACAAACAAACAAACAAAAAAACAGGGGCTGGGGATTTAGCTCAGCAGCAAAGTGCCTGCCTTGCAAGCACAAGGTCGTGAGTTCCAATTCCTGGTACCGGAAGGAAAACAAAAGCAAACAAACAAACAAAAATCACCTATTTCAACCTAAAGTACTCCTCGACTGAGGAATGTTTTGAAGCACTACACTCCCAAGGTGAAGGACCATTTATTAACAAAACCTAGATTACAAATACCCACTTGCCAGTTTTGGTATTTTTTGATGTGTATGATATTAGTAAAAATCCCTGGATAGTCATGGGAATAACAAAGGCTCAAAAAAAAAAAAAGAAAAGCAAAAAAAAAAAGAACAAAGGCTCAATGATAAGTGTATGTGTGAATAGGCTTCACTCCAATCACCTGTCATGCTGACTGAATAGGGGCAAAAAGCCCCTATTGGAGCTTTGTCTCATGGGCCACTGGAAGGATAAAAGGCGCACTCCTCCAACAGTGGGTGGCCACTCTTAGCTAGGAATTACTATCTTTAATCCCAGAGATCAAGGTGGGAAAGTGGCCTATTTGCAAGGTACCAACCTACACTTCAAGAGAGTACTACATTTCAAGAGGGTCACTACTGTCCAAGTGGCCACATCTTATCGGGCTTTTCACTCATTTTATGAGGAAACAGAAAGTAGTCCCCTTCTAATCCAGGCTAAAGAACTTGTTTTTAGACCTAACAGTGACTGTAGCTCAGACTCTGAAGGGCTCTTCTTGCTATGTGTGTGGGGGGGAACCAACGTGGGGGATCAACTGCCATGGGATGCTACACAGTTAGATCCCGATGAACCTTACAGTGAGTGGCACAGGGTACCCCAGCTCTACCTCCTTAGGAGTTTAGTTTCTCAAGACCTCAATAATTGGAAGAAACAGTCTTGCCCAGTGGGGAAGATGGCTCAACATTTCTATATGGGGCCTAATGTGTCTGGGTCAAAGGTCCTACAATTCAACTGCCTGAAAGACCCAATGGTGGGAGTTCCCTTACTACTTTGAACCAAACCCTCACCCCTTGACCAATTTTTCTCATCTAAGGTAGGCTTGAGATGATGTAGATGGAGAATCAAATGACAGGCCCCAGATGGACCGTATTGTACTGGATATGCAGAAGATGCACATATGCTGTACTTCCCCCAAAAAGGTCAGGGTCTTGTGTATTAGGGATGATCCACCCATCTTTCTTTCTACTCCCATTTGTCAGGGGAGAATATCTGGGATCCAAGTGTATGGGGACAGGGGGACCCATAGAAAATGACATAACCTGCGAATTAGCAATTGGAAAGATGAGAAATGGCCCCTGAATGCATAATTCACTTTATGATCCTGGCAGAGGATGAGTCCTTGGACTACTGCACACCCGTTTATACGCTAAAACACATACTGAGGCTGCAAACAGTTGTAGAAATTATAACTAATGAAACTGCCAAAGCTCTTGTCAGCCAAACAACAGACCAAACTCCACACTACCATCAAAATTGCTTTGCCTTATTATATGCTTGCTTCCGAGGCAGGGGTTTGTGGGAAATTTAACCTAAGCAACCACTGCCTACAAACAGATGAAGGAAAGGTCATATAGGAGATTACAGATCAAATGAGGAACACTGCTCACGTTCCATCCCAGATCTGGAAAGACGAGGACCCCTGGGAACTGTTTGGGGGATGATTTTCAACTCTTGGGGAGTTCAAAACCCTCACAGGTATCACACTCCTGATTTTGGGAACCTGTCTGATCCTGCCTTGCCAGGCTCTCTTGGCTATACATTCTGCACAACAGCCTCATTGAAACGATGGTCAAAAAAAATGGCTGCACACACGATGATGTAATGTAAATATAAATTCCTGAACCAGGATGAGAGTCTTTGACTCAGAATAAAAGGGGGTCAGAATAGGGGCAGAGACCTCATGAACAAATCACAAACTGCATGGGAAACATTTCAAGAGTTGAAAAAATCCCACAGCAAAAGCTTTTAGCAAAGCAGTCAGGTAATCCTCAAACTCATTTATGGGCTATCACTGTATACAACCTATACTCCAACCACACTGGGCTATTTGCTATTTCTTTAAACAAATCTTATACTTTTGTTTGTTAATACTTTTCTACTTCTGCTCAGCATCTGGCAAAAATGCCTTAAACACAGTAGTTCAATAAGCATTTGTAGAAGAGTTCATATCAACTAGGCCTGTGGATGTAGCTTAGTTGTAGAGTACTTGCCTAGCAGGCGCAAGGCTCTGGGTTCAATCTCTAACACCATGCCAAAAAAAGAAGAATTCATATCACTTTTCATGTTCCAAGTGAGATTTTTAAAAACAAAAATTTCAAAATTTGTACCTATTTAAATGTTATCACACGCCTAGAATCCCAGCACTTGGGAGGCTGAGGCAGGAGGATCGTTGCGAGTTTGAGACCAGCCTGGGCTACAAAGTGAGCTCAAGACCAGTTTGAACAGCATAGTGAGACCCTGTCTCAAAAAAAACAAAAAATAAATAAATAAATAAATAAATAAATGTTGTACTTCACCTTTATAAATATAATTTAAAATTCTATAATAGTATTGTGATCTGATACTAATTTCTTATTTTTAACTTTTTTCTTTATATTTGGTTTAAAAATATATGAATTTGTGTGGAACTATTATTAAATTGCATTGTATACTTTTTTATATCTTTGGTCAATTTTTATCTAAAACCTAACTACAAAAGATACCTTGAATTTTCTCCCACCATGACTCTAACACCCAGGAAGACAAGAAAGAAATCTATCTTTTTCACTATATTCTTAGTACCTCTTATGTGTGTGCACATTAGCTCAGTCAACATTTATAACTGTCTTAAATTTCATTCTTTTCACTGCTGCTAAATTAAAAAGTATACATTAAGGAGCGAACAATGAGTAAAAAACATACATAACAGATGGAGGTCGATCTAACAGCAATAGATACTGAGTCTCTAATATGAATCAAGATATTCTGAGTGCGCTATAAACGTAATTCTTGCTCTTGGGGCTGGGGATTTAGCTCAGCGGCAAAGCGCCTGCCTGGCAAGCGCAAGGTCGTGAGTTCGGTTCCCGGTACCGGAGAAAAACCAAAAACCAAAAAACAAAACAAAACAAAAAAAATTCTTGCTCTTGAGGTCTATGAACACACACAGGTTAATAAATAACTTTGATATGGTGCACTAAAAGAAAGGTATGTATGTATTAAACGGCATGGAAATAAGAGTTGAAAAATCTAAATTGGTTCAAAGAAGGTGCCTTACTCTATAGAAGTAAAATCTGTTTAAGGGGTGGAGGATCAAAAATGATTTATCAAGATATGATTTATATATATACCTTCCCCAAAATGAATGTAAATATCATGTGTCATAAACATAAACCAATAAAAATCCTTTTTAGGATATGGAAACCAAAACCCATACAAACCATAATAACTTGTTTTAAATCACAAGACTAGAGGTCACAAGGCAAGATCTGTTCCACTTACACTGTTTAGTACCTCACAAAGGAATAATAAGAGATTTGCAGTTATAACACAAAACTAGGGGATCTATTATCCTAATTCCATATCCTATTAATATAAATAAGCAACAACTGTCCAAAACTGTGAAAGGTTGCCATGTAGTTCAAATAGCTAACTGACTGTCCTATAAAAGGATGCACCCTATATGTTGATTAAATACATTTTACCAAAGAGAGTTAAATGATCCATTCTAATTAATGTGACTTATAGATAAGTAGAACACTATTAAGATGTACTTGAAGTTCTGCAACGAATCTTTTTTTTAAAGGGTTCAGAAATAAGACTCTGATAGCATTTATGAGCTCCACAACTCTCTAGAGTATCCAATTACATTTGGCTATCAAGCAACCATTCAGTGACTTCACAGGCACAATTACCACCACTTCTCTTGATCCTACCACCTGACTTTGAAGTATTAGAAGATGATGTAACCCTCCCTGTATTATAAATTAATAACCTGACATTCTAAATTATACATCAGTCTTGGGTTGTTGGGTTAGCAGGAAATAGCCTAAGAATCTGCTTGGTTCTGAAGACAGTGTATAAAAAAAAGCTTAAGAGCCTAAAAATTTTAAAGACCATATTTTAAATCAGTGGTTGAAAAACAATGGGGGCCATCACTCAAGAGGTGAGGCATGAAGATCACTGAGAGCTGGAGGCCAGCCTGGGCTACACAGTGAGTTCAAGGACAGCCTGAACTGCAGAGCAAAAATCATCTCCAAAAAAAGGGGGGAGGGGGGACCACAGGTTGGATTCAGGCCAAAAATGGATTTTATTTGGCTTGCACAGTGAGGATGAAGAGGAGGAGGAAGACAGAAAAGAAAAAGGCAAAGAGGAAAAGAAAAACAACTACCGTTTTAAAAATTCAGGAATTTCACATATAAATGCGTATTTCCAGCTCTTCTTAAAAAATCTGAAATTCTAACAATACTGGACCTAACTTGCCATATGGTAATAACTGACCACAATTATGTAATCATAGCCCCACATATGTGGGACATTTGGTGCTAAGTCACATGTGAATTGTTACTTATCATTATGCATTTTTCTTTGACTCATAAACTTCCAAGAATGAAGAATGCCATACTTGGTGGATAGGTGCAGATTTTTAAAAGTACAATCCACGCTTCACATTAATACAGTAAAACAAAGCTACAATCAAAGAAATCAATTTACCTTAATCTGAGTTTGTTCGATTGACTTTTCCCATATCTGCTGATCATATGCTCCAATCTGAAATAAGGAGCAAGCTATTTAAATGACGCAAAGGCAAATACCTGTATTTTTAAGTCAAGCCTCACATGGAAGTCATTAATCTATTAAGTATTAATATCTGGAAAGTGTTTCTGCTTGTCAGAGTTAGAATAAATTAATATTTCCAAAAACTATTTTCTTCAAAACTCTAAAATAGCTGGATCTAAAAGTTAAAAAGCAACATCTAAAATATTTCAAATTAAATATTACCTTAAAAGATATTTCCACTTCTTAAGGAAAACATCAATAGGAATACTAGAGAAGAATAAAAGGTAAGGGACAGCTCAATACGAGGGCAGTACCGATCTGAGCCATGCGGATAAGAGCCCCATTCCTGTCTTTAAAGTTTGAACAGCAGTAAACTTTCAGAGCGTTGCCACGGCTTGTGTTTGCAGTCCGGGGAAGGGAGAGGATTTGAAAACCTTACCCTGGGACCCGGAACTGGGATTATAACGATCTTCTACATACATTTTTCCGTTTATGTTGAGATACCATATAATACCTGGCATCATCAAACTCAGAGAAAAGTACTGTGATACTCCTTGTGCAAATTTTCTGTAGGAAGTATGCTCTGCAAAGAAAAATTACTGGTATTACCTTCTTTTGATACCACGATATAGCATCTCTCTCATTTGAGGCCATTTGTGTCTCCAGCCAGAGAGTGGGATTTCACTGAAAACGAAGGAAACCAGTCGGTGAGTGCGGACGCTGAAGGCGACTCTGCCTGTGGGGAGCCCTCGGCGAGCAGCGGTCCCTTTCTCCGACTGCTGGGGGTGAGGCGGCAAACACACGGTCGCCGCCGCCACACTCTGTGAGCGTGAGTGCAGGGGTGCGGGGCAGGGCGGGACGAGGGGTCCGAGCACACCCGCCCGCCCCCGCGGCCCCGGCGTCAGACCCTCACCTGGTGCCCGCTGCCAGGCAGGCCGACGTGCGGGTCCTCCCTCCTCAGTGGCCCCGGCCGGGAGGAAAGGCCGGGGGCGAGGCGGCGGGCCCAGCAGGCCGCATCTTCCCCCGGAGGCCGCGACGCCGGCGGGGCCGTTACCATGGAGACCGCGGGGACCGCGCCAGCCTCGGAGGCAGCGGGCGGCCCGCGCTCCGCGGAGGGCGGTGTTGTCACCGACGGCGCACCCTCCGAGCCCGACCTACGAGGTCACGGGGTGGGCCATAAAATAAGCGCGGAACGGACTGGGCAAGAGCGGAGCGGAGGGATGCAGCCTCCGCTGGGCCGCCACTCGCTACCGCAACGGGAAAGGCTCTGCGCCTCTGGAGCGCGCCGGGGACCGGCAGGCTGCAGAGCGGCGTCGCGCGTCCGCACTGGCCGCACCGTTAGGGCGGTGACTCAGCCGCCCCGGAGCCCAGGTGCGGGCCGCGGCCCCGCCGCCTCGGC